GGAATATCATTGATAATTAATTTATTACATCACATTTTAAAATTGTAACAAAATTCTAACCTTTAAAAATAATTATTATTTCAAATAAACAAAAAATTAAAAATAGGACTGCAAAAAACCATTGCAAATTTGAAATGAAAAAAATTGAATAATTAAAAGTTGAAACAAAAAAAAAACCCCTCCCTTCCCCAATAAGTCAATAACCTTGGCGTTACATTTTCCCAACGTTTTATTTGCGCATTTTTATGACTGTAACCAGTAACACGTAAGCCTTTTTTCACCAAGTGGTATATCTCTACGTGATGTTATTTCCTGTCAAATATTTTATTTAAAATTAATTATATTTTAAAACTAAAAAAATCGAAAATTTTCCGGATGAATTTAAAATTTGTCAATTATTGCAAAATAAAATAATGTGATTATAAAAGAGAAAAAAAAAGAGAAAGACATGAATTTGTCAACAACTGATTAACTTTATGGTGTACTTATTAAGATAATCTAATCAATTTATTTCATAATTTAATTTTAATTTAAATATTTGATTTTGGATTTCAAATTTAAATCTATACCGTATGTTTACTATCATCATCAACGATGAAATATGTTTTCACTTTATGCTCAGCTAAATACTTCGAACGTTTTTCACCGTAACCTTCCTCAACTTGATAAATACCACCCAAACATTTTAAAGTTGCATCGGTTATATGAATACGTCTGAAATAGATCGATGAAGGTTTAAAGATCCGGTTAGTGCATTTATCGGAGAGTTGTATAAGTATTGGATACCGTTTTTACGAAAATATCAGATTGATTTCATAAACGGATTTAAGCATCAGTTAAAGATGTAATTTCCAACGCATTAGTTTAATTCTGTCCATTTATCGCTTTAAATTATTGATGATTCAAACCGTCCGATTTTGCTTTCTTTCATCTTTACTTTTCATCATTTTGATCTTTCATCAACTTTCATTGAATCGGAATGTTCGATTGATATCACGGATTTACCACGAGAGACTAATTTTGAACCCCATGAAATACTCCCCAAGGATAGATCGATTACTAAGAAAAGTTACCCGGGTAATCCACCGCTTTCCATATGATTTGCCAAAGTGACATCATCGCTCCATACATCAAATTGCCATTTTTTCAGGCCAAGTACACCGCAATGAGCTCGACCGGTATGAATGCCAACTCGCATGTCTACATTGACGCCGGTTACTTCCCGTACTAATCTATAAATAAGTAAAATATGAATAAATAAGTTACAATTTACAAATTCTTTATGAAATTATTGTAAGCATTATCAATTCCGGTATTCCGGCAATGATTCATTTTTGATATAAATTTGGAAGAAAATATTTTGATTGTCTTAGTTTATTAAGTATAAAATTATTATAATTTATAAATTAAACCGAATAGATTGATAACAGTTATCAAAAGTTTTCTCTTTTTTACGGAAGACTAAGTTTGAACTTCATTGTACTAAGACTGTGTCATGTCAGAATATGTCGTATCAACGATATATTATTAATTACTTCTTGTAAAAATCATTGCCAAATCAGACTAATCCATATTTATAATTAGTATTTAATTAAGTTAAAATGAATATGAATTCAAACAAAGTTGAAATAATTAATGAAAAAGATGAGGAAAAAAAAGAGGAAAACTTACTTAATTACTTCAATCATTTCTAATCCCATTTCAACTGCACATTGTGCATGATTTGCCTGATAATCCGGTAAACCGGAAACGCAATAGTAACAATCACCAAGAATTTTAATTCTCATACAATGATTACGGTATGCTAAATGATCAAAACGCGCAAAGAGATGATTTAGCAATTGCACCAATTCATCCGCGTTACATTCCGATGCCAAATTAGTAAAACCACAAATATCCGCAAAAAGTATGCTATAATTTTTAAGTGAACTTTAATAATTAATTTTAAACTTATCCAATAAATTAATCGATTAAAAATTTTTCTTTTAAAAATTACTAATTTTAAAATAAAAGATGCCCATTAATATTATATTTAGACAGAAAAAGAAAAATGCTAAAAGCTAGGTTTATTAAGAACGGTAAAAATTATTTATAATTCTCGATAAAAAGTAAAGCTACCAGGAATTCTCAGGGAATCTACCAAAATATTTTGGACCTTCTAAAGATCTTTTCATGTTATTATGAATTTTTCAAACATAATAGCATAGCATTTATTGGAAATTAAAGATTGTCATATTTTTGAGGGAGAATAAATTGATTAATATATTGAAAAACTTAAAACAATTTTATTATGCGAACAAATGTACTATTAGTATTTGATTTTTGTATTTTTAGTTCAATTAAAATTTTATATTCCTATCAAAATTGATATGTCATATTTTTTAATTCAAATTTTGCAATTTTCTTCATCAGATTCATTGCGACAATAAACTTGAATTTTAGAAAGAAATATTCCTTCTTTACCATCATATCATTGCTTCATTTATTGAAAGTACAGTGTGGGTCCTTTCATATTTAATGTATTAAGGAAAATTTCCGATTAAACAGGATATCATACCTGATAATATCATGTTTCCGTATATAAATTTTATGAAACATTGTTGCTGATTGTCCTTCTAAAGCTCTATCCTTCCGAACATCATTGGCAATATGTCGTGGAAGTACTGATAATAAAATATCTTCTTGTCTGATATTTTCCCGTAATAACAAAATTCGTCGTTCCACACATTTCCTGATAATTGAATAAAAAAAAAACCAATGTTTTTGTTTTTTTTCTTCTCCCGCTCTCTTATCCCCCCCCCATCGAAAGATTATTTGGGGAATTTGAATATTGTATTCATTGTTTTAGATTCTTATCTGTATTTATTTATCACCAAACTGATTAACTTGTATGTTAACATATTGATCAATCTATGTTGTCACCAAAGTAATAATTAAACCAATCAACTTATATGCCATCAAACTGATCAACCAAAGTAATAATCAAATAATCTAAACTAATCAGCTTATATGTCATCAAAATATTCGTCACAATAATCAACCTAATCAGTAACGAATAATGATGAAATTGAAATTAAAGGAAGAGAGGGGGAGAGGGAGAAAGAGAAGAAGAAAGAAAAAGAGAACCTTGTTTCATGAAAAGTTTTCCGTTGTATAATTTCGGTTGGATAGTAAACAAATAAGCCAATAAGATTCATTGTAATCAATAGGACTATTTCGGTTAATACCTGATTGAAAGAAAAAAAATCAATGAATAAAATGAAATTAAATTCAAAAAGGAATGAAAGGAAATTAAATTCGAAAAAAAGTAGAAATTATTTTAGCGTCATTTTTTGCAAAATTATTACATCAAAAGTTATTATATATATGAATGCTTTCTTCCTTTTCGTTTTAATTAAATAGAAAATTAAAAAAAAGAAAAACTTGTTATAGGGAATTTTACATTTATCAAAATTACTTTTTTTAATAACTTTGTCACCTGAATTGAAATCAGCAATTTTTCAAAAAGAAAAACAAATAAATATGCTGCTGAAAATTTTATTCAATGAATTTACTTTTTATCATTAAAATTGATAACAGAGAAGGCAGAAAATGTAAATTTTGTGAATTTCAATCATAAAGGTTAATTTTTGGTTCCAGTCTTAATCATCATATTGCCTAATTTAGTAAAATTTATCCGAAATCATTAAGTGATTAATTCGAAACTAATCCTTAAGTTCGAAATCAATGATATTTCTGATATCACCAAATCATATTTTGATTAAATAAATAAGATAAGCTATGCTACTAAATTAATTGTGTAGCAAAAATTTTTTAATTATATCACAAGTAAGTAACATGAATATTTTTTCAACTAATTGGAATTTGTAAAATTCGTTCTAGTTTAACCAAACCTACGATAGTAATAAAATTAATTGGCGAACATTTGTTATTGGTCAGTTCCTGGCGCAAATGTCTTATCCGATATTGTGAACACGATAAAGAAAGGAATTTCACTCATTATAAAATATTAACTAAGAAAAAATAAAGTATGAAAAGATAAAATTGAGTTTGACAAATTCTTTTGACTTCAAATTTCACCTAAATGAAAAGGTGATAGGTTTAAAATTTATCACATTACTGCTATAAATACGCATGTAATTCCAACCTTCCAAATATTTTTAAGCATTTTTTTTTGCCAAAGCCAAGAAAAATGTCTATTTAAATGAAAATGTTTAAAAATATTTCACAGATTTTAAAGACATTAAAATTTAAAATGCTTCTACAATTTAGTTTCATGGGAACTGAAATTATGAATATATTTTTGCAAATTTCTTTCATAAAATTTCGAATTTTAATTATTCTTTTTATGAAATTGTTTTGGAATAATTAACATTTGACAATGCTTTTGTTAAATTTATTTCATAAAAATTTCTAATTTAATTACTTTTTTATAATTAATCTTAGAAAGAAATTTTTAAAAAAATTTAATTATACCTTCCTTCCTTCTTTTTCCTTTTTAAATTCATTCTTATTTTGACCTTTTTATTCATTCATGCAATTTTAATTATTTCCAACAAGCATATCTTACCTCTTTCACATTTGTTAAATTCAAATAACAGATGATAATTGTTGTAGTGGTGATAAGCATAGCTGCTAATAGTGAATACACCAATTCAAATGGAAGTAATGCATAGCATAAGAATAGCATTAAAAGTGAAAAACAGAATAACTTAATTAATGGTGTAATAATTAATATTACAATGCTACAACCAACAATAATCCATGATAGTAGGAATGAATTTCGTCGTCGCCACAGTAATAATGCAGCAATGAATGCATCAACAAGAATTAATACGATAGCTACAGACCAAATATCAGAGAGTACTGTAACTATGGTTTCAATTATTGCTAAGCCAAGAAGACATGTTAAAGATGCCTGAAAGAGAAAAAAATTCCTTTTTTTTAACTTATAGGAATTTTTATACAGATTATAAATCATTCCTGACTAAAATTTCCAAAAAAAAAAGAGAAGAAAATATTTTAAAAAGGAAAATAATTTTGATATGTTAAATAATCAAATAGTCAAAAAATTTAAATTTTTCAATAACTTTAAATTGTAAATGAAATTTGGTCCCTTAAAAAGTTCTTTAGAAAAACGATATTAAAAATGCATTGCTAAAGATTTAATAAAGTGATACTGTCAATATTTACGTATTTTAAGTTACGATATGAATGGAATATTAGACAGAAAAGACTACCACAAATGCTATGCAAATTTATTGCTTAATTAATGGTTAATAATTAATTAATTATTGTAGCGAAGAACTGGGAAACAGCTAGAAATTTTCATATATAACTTTTTTTATTCCATGATGATTAAATGATAAGAGAACGATGAACAATTTTCTTTTTCTTTTTAACAGCCAGAATAGACAGTAGTTTATGGAACTGATTAGCATTATGAAAAAATATGAATTAATTAGCAAAAATCTGAATTTCGTTTAAATTTTTACTAATTAGTTAATAATTTTCTGCTTAATTTGGAATTATTTGAATTTAATATTAGTGACATTTAATTTTTCTTTCCTCTTCAAAACGGAAGAATAAATTTGATAAGATAAAAAGTAAAAAATGGCATAATCAATAAAATGATGCCAACAATACCTAACAAATAGACAACAATTGTAAACAATAGTGATAAGCATGTAAACAATGCATGATAAACAGATGCAATTCATCAACGAAACTGATAAATAGAATAGATAACTAAAGTTACGAACTAATTAAATAACCCTTGAGTTAAATTATTCGCGCATAATATTGTCGAAATTTAACCATCTACTCTTTAATTCCTTTTTTACTCCTTCTTCCCGTATGTCTGTGTAAGCTTATTTTTCAACCACGTTGCAAATTTTCGGGTAAATCTTTAACCTGTTGCAACTATATATTTGCGAAAATTTTTGGGTAAATTCTCACCTTCGACAATAAATGACAAATTTAATATAATGATTTCAATGATATCTGATAAATAAACAACAACTGTAAACAGTAGTGATAGGTAAGTAAACAATAGTTTTGTAAAAAAGATGAAATTTATCAGCAAAATTGATAAATGAAATAAAGTTGAGGATAATTTTACCATTTGAATGATTCCGTCAAATGATTGCATATTTCTCTGTTGCTACTGTGAATTTTTAACATTAAAAAAGACTTTAAAAATTTTTTCAAATCATTCATTGTCAAATTTTAACATCAGCATAACCTTTAACCCCAATAATATTGTTGCTTTCAAGTAATAAAAGGAAAAAACTTCTTACAATATTTGTTAGATAACAAAATAAAAAAAAGTATATATTTATATATATTTTCGATAAGACTTTAATTTGCGAAGAAAAAAAGGAAAGTTCAAATTATTTGCATTGTTTACTTGTTGGATAAAAATGAAGATTTTTTAATAAAAGGAAATAAAATTGAAATTAAAATGAAGAAATGAATAAAAAATAAAAATTTCAAAGACATAAATTTTCAAATTTCAAAGACAACGACAAACAAGCAGTATGATTATTTTCCAAAAATGTTTATATGAAATTAAATTTTAGGAAGAGAGAGGAAAAAAAACAGTGGTTAAATTTTCAAATATGGAATTATCGACTCGATTGGGTTGATAGTTTTTTATTTATACTCTTTTGTTTCTTTCAAATTCGTTTTTTTTAAAAAAAGTTTTTTTCGTTTTTTTTGCAAATTTTTCTGAAAAAAAATTTCTTTTTCGTTTTTTCTTTCAAAATTTTGTAGCATATTTGTTAATTATTTTTTGTTAAGTTTTAACAATTTGAATTTTAATTGCAAAATTTTCCTTTTTTTTGTCTTAAAAATTTCAATTTCACATCTTTTCTTTTTGTAATATTTCTTATAATTAACAATTTTCACTTTTTTCTTTTTAATATTTTTTTCTGTCATAAATGTGTCACATCCTTCAAATTTCATTCATTTCTTTTTTTTTGGAACTCAATTTTCCTTTTTATTTTTATCAAATGACAGTATAAGTCATACATTATTGAGGTGCTAAAGTCTGAAGGAATGTACTTACTAAGAGCAAGTAAGAGAGAAGAAAAAAGCAATTCTTTCATTTTCTTTTTGTCAAAAATTTCAAGTGTTGACGATGTGAACATGGAACGTTTTCGTTTTCTTTGCAAATATTTTAAATTAAATTTGGAAGTTAAAGTTTCATATTAATTTAAATTTCCATACTAACCAAAATTTCATCGCATTTTTCAACGATCTATTACTCTAGAGGTTAGAAAGAAGTGAGAAAAAATAAAGGGAAAAGAAAAATTGCTGTTGTCATGAAACTTAAGCAATGACATTTGACATTTATGAGAAGAAATTTAGCCAGTGACATTTAACATATATGAGAAATGGTTTAGCAATATGAAAAAATTGTGACTGCTAAATTTATGCAAAAAAAAGCTAAAATAAGTTTTAAAATTAAGATGAAAATAAAAAAGTCGCCGAAGATAATCATATTCAAAAAATTTTTGCTAATATAGTCAACTGTGATTATCATTTATCATGCACATGAAGTTAAAGTAAATGATTACTTGCCATGAGCATAAAGTTAATAAAGTAAATGACCACTTGTCACGTGTAAAAAGTTAAAATAAATGATTCTTATCACGCGCATAAGGTTAAAATAAATGATTGCTTATAACATATGCAAATTTCCGCATGTAATCTATAACAAACCTTTAAACGACCAGCATTCATATGTGTAAAATAAGCCTGATATACCGGATCTGAGCCACATGGATGATGTGAAATGGATGAGTTATTCTCTTCTAATGTTTCCATATCATCCAGAATCTCACTATTCTCGATATCTGTAAATTCGGATCATTGATTGATTGATTAACAACATCTTGGAAAATTCTCATATCACTTACTCATTTACTCATTTACTCACTTATTCATTTACCCACTTACTTATTTATACACTTAATCATTTATTTATTTTAATGAAGGAGCAAGTAAATGAGTAAATATTTGAATTATTTGGGTCGTTTTGAAAATGAAGCAAACAAATGTTTCTTCTTTTTTTTTTGTTTGAATAGCTTCTGGTATTTTTGATTTGTTCTTACTTCCACATTTAGTAATCTTTCATTTTAATTACAGTCTTCAAGTCTCATTGCATTTTTTTTTTGCTTCATATTATTGCTATATGCTTAAACGTAATAAAAGATAGAAAATATATGGAAAATAAATTGTTGCAATAATTCAATACTTATAATTAAATTTAAATTAACAAACCAATTTTGGAATCTGTAAGTGACTGCATCACCATACTATCTTTTCCATGCGACATTTTCGTTTCTTTTCTTTTCAACATCAAATATATATGTAAATACATATATATATATATATATATATATATATATATATATATATATATATATATATATATATATATATATATATATA